GTGTGTGTGTGTGTGTGTGTGTGTGTGTGTGTGTGTGTGTGTGTGTGTGTGTGTGTGTGTGTGTGTGTGTGTGTGTGTGTGTGTGGGATGCTAAATCAATCTGGTGTGCTACCTGTGTGCCAAAATAATCTTTCCTGCTTTAGTTTCTGATAATACATAATCTCTGAAACAGATGAAAAATGACTGAAAAATGACTTCAACCAAAACCTTGTTGTACTTGTTGCAACACCAGTCTGTGTTAATAAATATAAAAAAGTGTAAATAAATTAAAAGGGACATATTGATTTAGTATGGTAGCGGCTGAGACTGGCTTCTTCTTCAGACCTCTTTGAGGTGTTATTGCCAATTAGATAACTTTTTAGTTTCCATGGAAACCATTTTTTCTCTTCTTTGTGTACTTTCTCGCGCGTATAAATACACTCTACATCCCCCCACATTGTTTATTTTTATACCGCCTTTTCCTTAAAGATTCATGAGACAACAGGTGGGTGTTGCATCGCGTAGGGGTGGCATGGGGGTACAGTAATATAGGAGCATTGTGGGCAGGGGTCAGAGGTCAGGGGATTAACTAGTTGGGAATAAGTGGGCTGGCAATAATAACTCCCGGCTGATGGTACACAGTGTCCTCCGTGCAACACGTCTGAACAAAAGTTGTTACTGATGTGTTGGTGAGGGTAGCGCTTCTATGATTCATGTACACAAGTTTTACAATCAAATGAGGTGGCACTTGCGAAATGAATGTGGGTTGCACAAATTATAGTACAATAATGTAAAAAACAATACATTTGACTGCAGATCTGTGTTTCAGCAGGCTTCCTGTGCAGCCACACTTTAAATGTCAAAGTATCTAATAAAAAAGCCTCTAATTAGAGATTGTAAAGTTGCTAATTGGGACATTTTGAGATAAAGGAAAGACTTTCCTACTGCCAACTCGGCCATCTGGTTATAGAAATAGCTCTGATCTTGGTGGCAGTGAGATATTAATGCATTTATGTGGCTAGCTGCAGGCACTCCTGTATTTTTGTCTCAATTCGGACTATCCATCACTTCTTCTCATCACAGGTAAAAAGTGCACAGAGACATGAAGGCCTACAGAATAATTAATCACAGAGCAAACCTTATTAAAGAGGTCAATAACAGAAAGACCCTTAACAATACAGTAAATGACTATTCCCTTTAGCCCATTTTAAACGTGATGAGCCGATAATGTGGGAGCTATTTTCTGTTGTGTGGGCCGTCTCTGTGGCTCTCTTAATGACTCCCCCTCATGTGCCATGTGAGCCAGTTTACTCAGAAGCAGGCGGACGACTCACTTCCACTGTGAGCACTGATCCAGGTCAATATGTTTCTAGAAAAGCAGGTCGAAGATGGCGAGCAAGGAATGGGGTGAACACATCTGCTCTAACTGTAAACCGTGTTGATCTGTACATATAAATACCAATATGCACTTTAATTGTTTTGTGTGATTGGTTTTTGTACTCACTCACAATCTGTGATTTCTCCTTGAGGCTTTGTGTCACAAAGTGTGGAACATGTTATGAAATTAACAAAGAATACCCCGCACTTTTTGTTGGCAGGTTCAGTTCAAATGGGCGTTGTTAGCTTTACTTTAAATTCTCTCAAAAAAAAGGCTTGCATAACATAAGTATTTTTCTTAACAGACTGTTGTTTGAAATGTGGAAACAATATCGGCGTACTTCAACAACTCTGCACACCATGTTTCTATGTTAAAAACGTTGGAAACATTACACTGATTCTTAGATTAAATGTACATGCATCTGAAAGCTACGGGATACATAGGAGAGTTTTGTGGAATCATTACATATTAAAGTATAATATGTGTTGGCTTGTTGATCTAACAGTGAAAAAGAGGGTTGAAGTATTTTAGTTCAGAAGGTCTCTCTGAACAGGAATGCAAGTCATGATCAATACTTGCCCTGGGTGAGGGCGAGGGTAGGATCAAGGTTAGGGTGTTGGATCAATCTTTGCCCTTTGTTCTGTAATTGCTGATAGGGATTTAATTAATAAACTATTATTGGCTTGATTACAACAGACTTTGTAACAGTATTTGTTTCTTATCAAGTATTTTCATGTTATATGCAGTCTATGGTCTTTTCTAGAGAAAGTGATGCACACAGAGAAACGATCAATAGCATAAAAACCATAAAAGCTGAAAGCTTATCACATGGCATGTGACCTCACGTGTCAATAATTCTCGGAGAGGTGGGCAACATCATTTTCATCGAAGAAACACAGACTGTTATATTATCTCAATTAAAAATAAGACTCTGGTACAGGAGGAAAACAGTAAGTTAAATATCAAGAAGTTGCAACATACAAATCACATGTTCCTATGATTTTTCTGCCATGGATCACAAGATTATTCCACTTTTAATATGAGTTATACCAAACAATAATATGACATGGACTGAAAACAATACAATATTTGACTGCACCAGAAAACCCACTGAGGGTTAAGGATCTGAAAGGAAAAGGCTTGCCTCTCTTTTAAGCATGAAAAGCGACAGTTAAACAAAGTTAATCAATAAAGCTGCAAATTGTAAAAACACAACAGTGAACTAAAAGACGCTAAGGAGTTCAGAGGAGATGCAGGGTTAATAAAAGAATTAAGCTAATCATAAATAAGAAGCTACTTTAAGACATTCATTAAACTTTTAACTTTCCTGTTTGTTTTAAGTTGTGTCAGCTGAACTTTTCTGCCTGCATTTCCATGGATACTGGCTCCACTCTCTCATTATAGCAACGGCTGCCAGAGGAGCTGAATCGAGCAACAGAGAGCATGAGACTCGCAGCAGAAGACAAAAATAGATTTTCCTTAATGGTCATTTTACTTGCCAAACATGTTTAATTATATTCCCACTTCCTGAAGGCTCATTTGAAAGCGGTGCATGACAAAAATGTGACTCGCGTATTTTCAAGACTCACAAAACTGTAATTAATCATCACAAATTGAGCACATGTCGTATGTTTAACACACACACAGAAAAACGCACACACACGTACACACAAATGCACGCACACACACACGACCATGCACAAACACACACACACAGCTCTGTTGAGACAAAAGGCCCCCTCTTGTGGCTCCTTCAAACACGGAAAACCGCCTCAGCACTTTGTCCCCTGCTGGGAATTAACTAAACTCATGATGCCAACAGTTATCAGAGACACACTGTACTTGTTTAAAGAAGTTTGGTGGAGGATAAAAGTTGTGTATTGTAGGCTACTATATTTACTCTGGTCATAATACTATTTTCCAAATTATCCAAACAATCACATATTATGATCATCTGTTGCTTTCTGTATAATTCTGTATTGCATCAGCATTCAAATAATGATTTAATTCATTTAAAATAATTTTTCCAAGACATTGTAATCCTTCTGTTCTCCACTTTTTTTCTCTCCGGTTAGATGCTGCACTGTCAGAGTAACCATCTGTGCAGCAAGCCCACCACCGTCCATAAGACATCTGTCAGGAGGAGCCAGTGCCACATTTCAATTTCTAAAGATAACGATATTTGATAGGACATAGTCACCATATTGGGCCAATGTAAGAACCAATGAGTGTTAGTTTTCTGACAAAGACCCCAACCTCTAGCCTCCATGATCACTCCAGACTATTTCAAACCTTGTGTGTAGAAACTAAGCTAACAATGGATCTTCAGTTGGAAATGAAACCCTTTTCGCTGTGAAAAAGAAGACTTTGAACCACATTCAAAAGGTAGGCCCATAGTACCTTGTCAAATACTGTTATATTTCTATGTGTACCTTGTCATAGATACCGTACGCTGGAGGATTACCTCTATGTAATGGTTACAGAGGTGTAAAGGTATCCCATCAATAGTGGTGTGTGTTTCAGCCATGAGTGCTCCAAAACTCTACTTAAGATATATTGCATTGTAACTGACATGGAGGCATGACTCACTGAGGTCTATTTAAAGAAGATACATCTCAAATATACTTTAAATATACATAGGAATTATTCTTCTTATCTACAATTCAAATATATATCTGAAGAATTAACCTTTAATTTCTTAGAGCCTTCCTAATCATAACTAATAAGAGCTTCATTGTTTTGATGATAGTTGTTATTCATATTATGATTATGGCAAAGAGTCTCCTGGGAAATAACCACAGCAGATATTTTGAAAATGAAGGCTATTTTAGTGCTAAGGTGCCTGGGGATAGCCAGCCAACAGCAGCAGCAGAAGGATAGACATGGCGCCCCCTGCTGAGGACCGCTACTGCCGTCAGTTCCTGCCCAACACCTTTGACCCGTCCCGATGCAGAGCCTGCCTGCGGCCGGATCACATGCACCTGTGTGCGGACACTTCTGCTGCTGCTGCTGCCGCTACTGGTGCTCAGGAGGACGGAGCACAAGAGGAGGTATGTAGGCCTACGTGAAACATTTAATGGCTTTGCGAAATCATTTGTTCAAAGGTTTACATATAAGAATAGTTTCAAAAACGTTAAGGAAAATTAAAAAAGATAAAAAGTGAAAATTAAAAGAGATAATTAACTCACTTCTAGGTATCCTACTAGCTTTTCAACGCAGGTCACTCGTCGTCACTTATGAATGGAGGGCTAACAATTCATGCTAGCTTATATTATGTTTGGACATTTTTCTTTATTTTAAAATAAAGCAACATGCTGGAAAACCAGCAAAATTACTTTTTGGATGTTACTTTCTGGGTTATCCACGCACTTTCAACTTGTTATAATAATAATGGGCCACATGCCACCTTCGATTGCTATTTCTCAGTTAATGCTAGTTAACATGAAATATTGCATTAAGAAAAAGCAGCTATTAACAGTAAAATCAACACACTGTCAGCTCTACAGGTAATGAAAAAAATCCCTGAGTGTCCCAAACATTCAACAAAATGTAAGCTATACTTCTATGAATGTAGGGGTTTTCCTTTTGTAAGTTATGATGTTATTAACCTTCTTCTACAACTACTGGCACCATACATCATATCATGCTAAAAGACATTGAAGATAAATCCCTAAATAATGACATTTGTATTGTTATGATTGTGTATTGCAGGGTAGAGCTATTTGGTTGAGGTTTTAACAGTCATGTTTATGTGACCAGATCTAGTTAAAAACATTTATGAAAACAGGTGCATTATATATTGAGGTCAAAATCTATTGACATTATAAATAACGGGTGTCTTTTAATGACTGAATATGACTGGTGTGTCAAAACGGTCCCACAAGTTGCACACTGAATTGATGAGGTCAACTAATAATACAATCCTCAAGTGAAACGACTGTGGAGGTGGGAGAAGGATAATACATTAAGGTGGCATTTGATTCTGTATCATTAATTAATGAAAGCTCATTACAATCCTCAGGGAATAGGTTGTAATCTAATATACCCAAATGACACATGCAAACATGTCCCCTCATACAAACGACCTACTTTAGTTAAATCCTTCAGTGGACTAAAGTAAAGAAAGTTTTTACTCTGCTGTAGTTACTATAATATAGACTTTCTCTCGATCTGAAAACAAAAGACAACACTTCCAACTCTTTGAACCTGCATCCATGTCAAGAGATCAAGAGCTAAAATGGCTGTAAATGAAGGAGAACTAAAGATCAAGATAAAGATGGGAAAGAAGTTGAGTGGGCGGTTCAGGTAATGCAAAAGCACCAGAGCAATGAAATAATGATGAGCATGACCAGAGACTAGCTTGAGTTACGTCCTGTGCAAACTAAATGTATTGACTTTGCTGGAACGAAGGGAGAGAAAGAAGGAGGGAAGAAAGTGAGCTGCTTAAAGCTTGACAGCAGATTTAGCTGAAAGACAGCGTGAAGTCGCAGTAAGTAAAATAGGTTTTAATCTTTTAACTTTGGAAGATAGTTGGCTATTACTTTATATAGGGTCAGTTTATGTTGGTTTGGGTTGTTTGTTTTTCTTAAAATGAATGGCTTCTAATACAACTGACTGGGCTTTTGTCAGGCTAATACAGTAATGCTGCTTAATAAAATAAAACATTATACATTATACAAGAACGAGATCGCGGGTACAAGCGGCCGAGATGGGTTTTCTCCGCAGGGTGGCTGGTGTCTCCCTTAGGGATAAGGTGAGAAGTTCGGTCATCCGGGAGGGACTCGGAGTTGAACCGCTCCTCCTTCGCGTCGAAAGGAGCCAGTTGAGGTGGTTCGGGCACCTAGTTAGGATGCCACCTGGGCGCCTCCCTAGGGAGGTGTTCCAGGCACGTCCAGCTGGGAAGAGACCAAGGGGTAGACCTAGAACCAGGTGGAGGGATTATATCTCTTCGCTGGCCTGGGAGCGCCTTGGGATCCCCCAGTCAGAGCTGGTTGATGTGGCCAGGGAAAAGAAAGTTTGGGGCTCTCTGCTGGAACTGCTACCTCCGCGACCCGACCACGGATAAGCGGGAGAAGATGGATGGATGGATACATTGTGATAACAAAATCTCAATAAATATTTGATTTACAAGCACAATCAAATTGAACTGTCTATAAACTTCAAGATTCTGATTCTGACAGTTAATGTCTTACATTTTAAATACTCTGAGGTCCAGGGCCAGTTTTAGCGTAGTTACCTGCTAAGTGAATAATAAAAGCATGTAGTAACCCTAACAAGGCATTGTTCTCACTTTAAATCCTGTAGCTGCAAAAAGCCAAGTTAACTGCCAAGAAAAGCTAAATAAAGGTTTAACATAACAACACATGACAGTAAAAATCCATGAATTTGGTTGTAATGCTATTATAAACAAATAGAATACACTCATAAAGCTTTTCTTAAAGTACCTAAGCAGTCGATAAACTGTTAACAAGTTCTTTACAAGTGCCTATCAATGTCTTATAATCGTACTATGAATTGTGTCTTTAATGCTGTTATTAAGGCTTTTATATTCTCCTTAACACATGTTGATGTCAATAACAATAAGCATCGTATTATTACCTATTATCTAACACTTATTACAAGAGCCTAAATAGAAAATGTATATAGAAAATGTTTTTCTGTGCTCCACCGTCCAGGACGCAGATGATGATCCTCGTGCCCTTTCTGAGGTGACCAGCAGAGCCAGTAGTGATGACGTGAGTGGCGTTTGGACCTATGAGTGGAGTCTGGTCCACAGTCTGAGTCCTGAGTGGGAACTCAATATCTGTGACACTGAAATACAATCCAGGTGAGTGTATCCTGTATCCTGATTTAGAAACCATATGTTTTTACGTAGAAGTATGCCTGAGCAGTGAGCACATATACGTGTATACGATGAAACAGCACACTCTCACAGAAAGACACCTGAGTCTGTTGGGTTCCTCTGTGAATATCACTGAATGAGCTGCTTGACTTTAGCTTTCAAGGATCAAACCTTACAGTGCCAATGGTCAAAAAAGATAAAAATAAAATAAATAAATTGTAGTGGAGTATAAGTATAGAAGGCATAGAATGTAAATACTAAACTTTAAAGTTGTACGTAGTACAGTACTTGATTAAATGTAATTTCCAGTACCGAACACTACCGTCTTTTACTTTTTACAATATGTGCAGTTACCAACCAACTTGCCAGAGAGACTGTCTCCAGTAAACATGTTTTCCAACTTCATGTTTGCTCCGGCCTCTGGGTCTGTATATCTGTGCTGACCTCGTTCTGCCATCCTCCAGCTCTCCACATCAGTGGGACAGTCCCGAGAGGAGCAGATCGCTCAGCCCAGAGAGAAACTGTGAGGATCACAGAGATATGACCCGGCTGGACCCGGCCAAAGCTAAAAGCTCCAGTATGGATGAGAGGAGGGGCCGAGACCAGTCCCGCCGGGAATCGGGTAGGGTCACAGATATACATACTGCACTTTTAAACTTAAAGGGACAGTTCACCTCACTATAAACAACAATTTCTTTTTCATGTTTTGTGAAGAAACCTTTTTCTTCTTTTTTTAAACTGAACTATAATGATGCACTGAAATGTTGTGCAAGTCTATCTGAACTGAAAGTGTTATTTAGGAGCCAAATCATTAATGGTTATTATGAACAGGACCAGTAAAATCCCATTTGTTATTTCTTGTAATTGTAAAAGTAATTTCTTTCTGATTGTTTTGTAAAAAAACAAACAAATTAACAAGACAAACATGTAGCTGATGACGATTACCTAATATTTTATTTATAAGAAAAATGTATGCTAGAGGGGGTAGGACCAGAAACGTTATTTTTAAGCTCCTTCTTGCCCCCTGTTGAACATGAATTTTTTTACATTTTTTTTTCGTATTATTATTTTTTTGACCTGAGACTTTAACCATTTTCAGAGTCCAGAGGAAACCGGGAACAAGAGAGTGGCTACTTCTCTCCTGACAGAAGAGGTGTGGGTGAGCGGCAGATGGAGGAAGTCACCAAGCGGCCGTATCGTTACTACGAGAGAGGGCATGCTCTTCCCAACAATTATGTTCCTGAGCCCAAAGCCTGCGTCCCCTACAGGAACGTCAACCTCGGCACGCCCTCCCTCAGGAGGAACCCAGAGACATACCTGCAGGAGATTTGGAGAAGTGAATCTCCTGAGAGGTACACGTACCACTCCAACTTTAGACGAGGGGCTGATTCACAGAATAACTCGCCGACACGTCATAGCTCCGTGAGCCCAGATCGCTACAAATTAGCTGAATCTCATGTGGGCAGCCAGCGGAAAAGCTCCCTCTCCAGGAGTCAGGCTCGGTCTCACTCCACGTCTCATGGCTCCTCTCCGCTCCCATCACACGGTCTCTCTCGGCGAACATCCAGCAGGTCCAGTCCATCCCGCAGGAGGGGGTCCACCACCTCTCGGGCCGCCTCACCTTCTAGAGTCACCCCCAGCTCAGACTCTTTGCATTTAAAGAACGGAGACTACGATGCTCAGAGGAGATGCAGCCGGGACTTGAGGAGTCCTTCACAAGCTTCAAACAAACACAGTTTGGACTCTGAGAAGCTCTACAGGAATCTGGAGTCTATCTCCCGCCGTGGATCCTCGGCCATCCAGCACAACTCATACGAAGGATCTCAGTCATCTCCTCGAACCAGAACAGCCTTCAACAGCTCGGCCAACTCTCGCACACGCAGCAGCCGTGAAGTATCACCGGCCAGGAACGGCTACAGTACACACAGCCACACCCCCCCGAGGGAGCCCCCCTCCAGAGACAGCAGACTGTGTCCTTCTCAAGGCTCCTGGCAGGGGTCAGCTCACTCTTTACTCAGCATCCCACGCTCCCGCGGTTCCTCCACTTCAAGACGAGGGACAGACTCTCAGCTGCTTGGTGCTTCACTGTCACATGTTGCAATCGCAGAATCTGACATAAGCCACGAGAAGAATGACAATCAGGTCAGCGGTGATAGAAGCAGGAGCAACATTAGGAGAGGCATGGAGACCTTACTCATCTCGGAACCAAAGAAGGCTGCAGTGGAAGAAGAGGAGGTATGTATTTCAGGTAGAACTTGTCTACAGCCAATCTAATGTGGCTGAACTTTTTTTTTTTAACTATTGGGATTGCGATAAAATTAGATAGCAAACTCCTCAGGATAAATTGTAATAACTTATGTCATTTTCTTCTTTTACCGACTTTACCCAGTGCCACATGGTAAAATAGGTTGGTGAACATTAGGCACGTTCCTAACGACTAATTTCAATAGAAATGTGTACATAGACTAGTTGCCTCAGAAAACCATTGAGAGCCATTGTAAACATAGGTATCTAGCTAACATGTGCTTGTTTTAAATGTTAAAAAGGTCCCTTCGTTCTTCCGCAATGTGTCCAGCAAGATGCTAGCATGACTGTAGACTCAAGAGACAACTTTTCCAACTACATATCATTTAAAATGTGAATTAATGTCGATTTATCTGAGGTGGGGATGACCATAGACGACTACATTGTCCTGGCTGATATCCCTACGATCCAGCTGGAGTCAGAGGAGGAGGAGCTTACAGGTTTGAGGAGGAGGGACCAGAGTCCGAGCCCGTGCAGGGACCAGAGGCCCCGGACTCACAGGTGGGTGGGTCCGTATGATACTGTATGGTAACATTGCATGGCATCTATTCCAAGAAAGCAATAAAAAAAGTCCCATGACCAAAGCAAAAACTTTGGAGATATCTTTTGATCTATCCATGAGCCATTTTGTTAGTTATGGCCAAAGAAAGGAGGAGTGCCTTTGCAGAGGAATTCGAAATTTGCAGAAGGGAAAATAAGGATTTAAACTGTGCATAAACTATGTGTTTATTTCTCTGCACTTTAATTTGGCTACAAAGGAGCCAAGATGAAATGGACACCTACAGTTCAACGCTTGAGTCAGATGAGAGGGGGAGAGTCAGAGAGAGAGGCAGAGACAGACGAGAGAAATGTCGGGACTCTGAAAACGGACGTTCGTCTCAAAGACAGTCGGTCCCATCCACTCATTCACAGGTACAACGCTATAACTGCACAAATGTTCACCATTAAATCCATGTTGAAACAACAGAGATGTGACAATTTGTGACATATCAATAAGTCAATGGACAGACAAACAATCAACAACTTTTTCGATCATCCATGAATGGTAAAAGTCATTTATTGTCTCAGACTCAAAACTAAGATGGATAATTTTCCAAATGTCTGACATTTTATAGACCAAACAATCAGTTAAACTAAAAATGAATCAAGGATTAGTTGAAACAACAGAGCTTGTAACCCTGTCTGTTTGTCCTATCGAAGAGCTCAGATTATCAAGGTGGAAAACACAGATCCTCAAAGGTGGAGGAGCGAGCATCTGCTGAATGCCCGCAGATGCAGGTGAGCACGGTCTTGTGACTTCCCTGCGTCTGTATAAATCACATGGGAAAATGGGTCATTCATACATTCATCTTTAAGTAGATCCCTGATATTTATTTCAGCTCCGTCACCTCAGGTGCTCCTCTCACAGAAGCCCCTTGCAGGAAAAGTCATTAGTTAGCACTCTACTTTTTAGGGCAGCACGCTCATATGATTTATCATTTTTATATTAATAGGAAGTGAAAGAGGGATGGTTAAACTCAATATATCCTGCAGTTTCAGCGCTGTAGTGTCACGCCTAAAACAGATTGTTCACCAAAAGAAACAAAAGGTAGTTATTCCAATGCTTTGAATCACTAGTAGTTGATAGTAGTTCAGAAACAGTTACCGGTACATCACAATAATATTAATGAGAGCCACGTGTGATCTCACATTTATAACTTCCCCATTTTACATAACGCATGTTGTCTCTTTTTTCTCCTCAACACAATGTCTGTACAATATGATGCATGCGTGGTAAGTATTTTATATAGTGCTAACATGCTTTAAAAGTTTCAAGTCAGTCTAATAACGTTGCATCAGTTCCTCTTTCTCTGTTTAACAATGACAATCACTGTTTGCAAAAACTACACTTCCTCCTATTTTAACCTTCCCACTCTGCAGTGTGTTTCCCATTTTTGGTGGTTTGTAGTTTTGCCTGCCTCTCAATGCGTGCGTCAGAAATATTTTTTTATCACATTTAGACACGTTTGTCTGCCGCTGACGGTTTGCACTTCCTCTTGTTCACAATCAAACATGACACAGAAACACTAAAGAATGCTTTTAAAGAGCGTGCTCTCAATGCTTTCATTACAGGCGATGTAACCTGAAGGGGTGGATGTCAAGCCTGGATGACCATGGCAAGGTAAATGGAAGTTTTTTTAAATTGTGACTCTGAACATACTTTTGAAAAGAATCGTGTCATTTTTATTCTAATTCCTGTTGTTAACACACTGTCATAGACCAGACAGACGGTACCAAAAACAAGACTTGACACCTAAACTATTTATAAAGAAAGAAATGTTTTATAGTAATGAAAATGTGATAATTCCATTGGACTTGTTTACTGTGTTTTGCTTAGTGGAGGAAACACTGGTTTGTTCTGGCTGATTCTACACTGAGGTACTACAGAGACCCGGAGGCTGAGGAGGTAACAGCTGATATGTGACATAAAAGTGATTTCTGAAATGTTTTTGATTTTGATAGGACTGGGCAATATGGCCAACATGTTCCAAAAAGTCATATGTTGATAACAATACAATTTTTTTAATATAACTATAAGAAGTCTACATACCCAAGTAACCTCAATGTAATATTATTTTTACATAATATATTTATATTGCCAATTCCTAGATGTATGTTTATTATTGTTAATTCATTTTTATCTGCCTACAGGAATTTGAAAGGTTTTTATCCAGATCTGCCATAATAACATGACCAATATCATCAGCCTTCCTAAATGATACTATTAACTATTCATTTGTGTTTTGGGTCACGAACAGTCAGATGATCTGGACGGAGAGATAAACCTGACACCCTCTGTGAATGTGTCCGACTGCGATGTAGAGAAGAACTATGGACTCCAAATACAAGTGTGTACACCATCAGACAGATAGACAGTCAGACACAAACAACACCTCATATCTACATCAACTACACGTTGGGTTGCTTCCTGTTTAATAGTGTGTGTGGGTTGTGTGTGTGTGTGTGTGTGTGTGTGTGTGTGTGTGTGTGTGTGTGTGTGTGTGTGTGTGTGTGTGTGTGTGTGTGTGTGTGTGTGTGTGTGTATCTTTTGACTTCCTCCAGACAAAGAGAGCAGTGTTCACTCTCTCTGTTATGACCTCAAGGATACGGCGGAACTGGATAAAGTTACTAAAACAGGCGATCCAGAACAACGCGCAGTGAGTCCGACTTTATACTGAGAGACAGTGGTGAAGTTTTCAGATCCTTGACCAGAGACTTAAGTAGCAATACCACACTGATAACATACTCAGTTACAAGAAAAAGTACTGCAATGGAAAAGGTAAAATAGGTGTTATTTGCTAAATGTACTTAAAAGTTCAATCCAAAAGTACTCAAGGCAGATAAAAGTTAACATATTATATATTAAGTAATAAGGTTATTGATGATACCTAAAAATGTAAGCAGCATTTCACTTTATAGTTTTTGAATGTTGGAGCTTATTTGAAGAATTTAATATGCTGTTTGGGAGCTTCATAACATCTTACATCAATAGCCTCTTACTTTACTATAAATAACTACAATATATAATATACTTGTTAATACAAATAATTAATCAAAAGTAGTGATCCCAACAAAAAAACAGGAAGTCTGTCATAGTGAATTCTTGATGGTAATCATGTATTTCCAGCAAAAATGTGCTAAAATCCTGAATCTAATCTGCTCATTGACCTGGAAAGTCCTGAACACAGTGAGATCAGGCAGACAATGTGATTGGGTGGTCCGCCTGCAGCAAACCCCCTCTATCATCTTTCCTCTGATGTGTAACTCTACCTGCCTGTCTTTGCCTCACTCTGAACGCAGCCAATCAGACGACGGCAGAAAGAAAGAGAACCCCCTCTCCCGGAGACCGTCGTCATGCCAACCCTCTGCTCAGTTCACCTGCAGGGACTCCGGCTATGAAGCGACCACTTCCACCTCCAACGCCAGGGCTGCAAACTCCCATAAGGCCGAGCACCTCCTTGAGACAATAGAGGGGGATCTGGACGTTTCTCCATCCAGTCAGAGAGAGGAAGGGGAGGGCTGGGACCGAGAGCAGGCCAAGCGATTGGAGGAGAGGAACAAGTGGTTTGAGGAGGGGGTCCCCTTCAGTGAGATGAGCAGCAGGTGGGACGCCATGGAGCTCAAAAGGGGGAGTGTACCTGTGCCTGTCATTGAAACCTTGGACTCAGAGGTCAACAGGAAGTGGGTGGAATTAGAAGCGCTGTCATTTAGAGATGAGCAGGCTCTCATTGGAGCCCAGGCTCATCAGTCGAGCACAGCCCAGGCTACACTCACAGTCGTTACCTCCCAGGCGCATCAATCGAGCCCCGAAGAGGCCGAACAGTCAGCCACCAGTTCACAAACTGATATATTGAGCTCAAAGGAGGCTCTTCCATCCATAAATGGAGCCCAAGAAATTCAAACTAATAAAGCAGAAGCGCTACAGAAAGAGGTAAGAACGTTTCCATCCACCTGCTTTTATGATTATTCACAATATGCTTAAAGAACTTGAGTGGAAATGACCAAAACGTTTTAAAATCATGAAATGCAAAAAAGTATGATAACTCTCCCTCACATAAACAATTTCATTATCTTTGAATGAGGTAATCTAGTTGTTCCCCTAGTACCTGATGTTGTCTGACTGTAGAACTGGAGCCGCCTTCTGCTTACCTCCATGAACAACTACTAATATTTGCATAATGGGACAAATATTCACTAGCATTTGCCAATTTTCTCAAAATTCATGTCAATCTTCTTCTAATACATAATTATCTCACAGGCCCTTTCTCTTCGAGAGCAAGTGGAGAGCATTAAGAGGGAGCGTGCAGCCATGAGGATAGAGGTGGACAGCCCCTGTGGCCCCGGGGCCCCCTGCAGGGCCAGACTTGAAGCCATGGAGGCCGCCCATCAGAAAACACTTCAGGAGCTGCAGGAGAAACATGCGAGGGAGATTAAGGAGCTGGAGGAGCAGAGAGACAGGATGCTGCAGGAGGAGAGCCAGGCGGCCGCTAGAGGTAGGGCAGGAAGTGAAGCAGCTGACAGCTTAATTCAGAATGCCTCCTTTGTTAAATAAATACAACTTCTCAATAATTACTTTTAAAATCATGTTGATACTGTGATCCTAATGTTGTGTATTGAAGGCAGTTTAAATGAAAAGTTAACAAATCATTCATCATCACAGCCATGGAGTCACTGCGAGCTGCTCACAGGGAGGATCTGGAGAGAGAGGTGGAGAAGGCCAGGAGGCTGGCTGGAGGAGCTGCACACATGGAAGCTTCACACAGAGGCCACACGTGAGTTTATAATAGTCACTTTGTTATCATGCTTAGTGTTCTCCTTCTCACAGGCTCTCGCTGCCGGCTTGAGATGTTCTACACTAGACTGTGACCCCTGCATGACAGTGCATTATATCTACTCCATAACTTGTGTGTTTGTGTATGTCAGGCCGCAGGCGGACGTTTTGCACGGTGAGTTGGACGTGCTGTCAGAGCGTTACTCTCAGAAGTGCTTGGAGATCAGTCGCATGGAGCAGAACGGCCAGGGCCGAGAGATCGAGCTCGGGCGAAAGGAAAGAGAGATGGAGCAGCTCAGAAGAGAGAACCAGGTTTACATGCAGGCTACATTTAAATTGTTTCCATAGAATATTATAAGTAATATCAATCAAAATCTCTTTGTTTCTTATTTACAAAGGGTTAAACTAAAAGGAAGCTACTTGTTCACATGACATCCCAATGTAATCATTTGAGATTAAAATCTCTTTTCAGGAGCTTAAGGTCAAACTGGCAGAAGAGATCAGCCGCATGCGCCGGTTCATCACAGGCCAGAGGTCGGACACAACGGTATCTCTTGGCAACACTGAGCGCACTGCGTCAGAAGTAGAGGTATTGATAGCAATACATTTGTGACTAATTTAGATCCTACCTAATGCAAACTCATATGAAAAGTAGGTTAAACCTGTATACTAGGGCTGCTCGATTATGGCAAAAATCATCTCAATTATTTGGGTCAATAATTGTAATTGCGATTATTAAATGAGATTATTCATTGACTTTGAAAACATCCATTTATTGGAGAAAAAAATGTGAACAGTATGTTTTTAACAGTTGATTACCCTGAACTTTAAGTATAATTCAACTGAAAAACCCAAAAAAACAAAAAAAAATTTAAAAAAAGTAATAATAACAATTAAAAAAAATATAATCTTTTTATTTCGATTACGTTGTTTTCGTAATCGTTGCAAGCCATAATCGTAATTAAAATACGATTAATTGAGTAGCCCTACTGTATACTGTTGTTTAAAAGCTGCATTCCAACTCGGCTTGAAGGACTAATGTTGACATGGCTGGCATCATAGGGAAGCAGACAAAAATACATTTGACCAATTTGCGTTGGACCTTTGAAAACACTTTAAAGAAAGCAAATTGATTAATGCAATTGTACTGTTTGTCTGTTTTCCTTCAGCTACATTTCATGCATTCTTTTTTTCTTTTCTGTTGGCCTCATTTGTGTTGAGCATCTGTGGCTGGTCACATTGTATTGCAGCGCATACTGCCATCTACTGCCCGCAATTCAGCAGAACTACTTTTAGCTACAGGTGCACTGCTGGGTAGTTTTATCGACAAGTATGCATCATATTTTATTTTATGAACATAGGTCTTGTATGTAAAAGCTGAATATTCCCTCTGAAATGTACTGGAGTGAAGTATAAAAAGTAAAGCTCACAAAGTAAGAAGAAGTAACTTAAAATGGTACTTAAGTGTTTCAACTGTGTGATTTACTTAGTTACAAACCACTACTTTCCAATAAACATTCTGACTTCCAATTAATATGTGAATATTTTATATATTTTTAACTATTATAGCCAAATATCCTTTTGTCTTTCAGACATTACTAAGAGCAAAAGACAATGAGGTGCAGTATCTTAAAAAAGAAATCATCTGTCTGCAGAATGAAGTGCAGTCCCTTACAAAGGTATGTTTTATGATCCAATCTCCAAAATAATAAACATCTTCATGTTGAACATCCACAACTGTCATACCTGCCTGACTTTGATTTGTCTACCATATTTGTTCCTACCTCCTCTCTTTAGGATAAAGAAGCATCTTACGAGCGTTATAAGCAGGCCTACGTGGAGCTGAGTGACATGAGGGGTCGCAGCCAGCTGGAGACGGGCTCCCTCAACGAACACTTGAGACTGGCCAACGCTGCACTTCAGGAGGGAGCAAGACAAACTTAACCCGTGTGGACAGCTTTTAAAAAAACGTACCTTGAAGAACAATGACAACAAGCCAACATACTATATTTACAAAATACCACAATAAAACCATTACATTGCTATGACAGAATTTGCTGTTCTGAATGGATGGACTTCGAAGAGTCAGAATGAGAACTATTGTGTACTTGGAAACCACTGCCCACAGAATAAAAAAATAACAATTGTTTATCCATATGTTTTTGACTCCCTTTATTGAGTTAACAGAAAAACATGCAAACAAGAGTGAAGGCATAACTGGTAGTTTTGATAGCCTCACATGATATGAGATTTTAAAAAATAATATGGCAAAAGCAACAAATAGCAGAGGAAAGAGGGAGGAGATGGGTGGAGGTGGAGGGATATATTAGGGTGTGCCCCATCTTCCTTGTGCCGGCTGGTTTGCTCTCAGTCAGTATTGCAAAGCACCCTGTGGATGTAAATGTAAAAATAATTAGCTGCCATGAGCTTTCTATTGTTACCTCATTGTCAATGTTGCAAGTATGCCACAAACTACACCCTTTGACATTTAGTTTACACACCCTTAATACATGGACAAGATTGTGCATGAAACGCCAAAGCTACAGTGAGGTAGGTGTGGTAAATGTACACTTTGACTTTACCTTTTATTGTTTGGAGTTAGCTCAGTCATCGTCATCATCGTCTTCAGGGACGAAGATGTCATGCTCCTCCAGGAGAGCCGCAAAGTTCTTGCTGATCAGAGTTCCAACGTACAAGAAAGGCACCACAACGGCTGTCATGCGAATAAGACCAAATGGTGTCTGGAAACAAAAGGAGGTATAGTCAAGTGACAAAACCAATCCCCTCATACTGCTCTGTGGTATTTTGGTCCAGATTTGGGATTATAGACAAGGGTTTATAATGAAAGTCCAACACAAATATCTAATATCTATTCTTGAGTTACAGGTACAAAGGATTGACTAATCACAGGCACAGGATATTGCCTTAAATATGAGCAGATTGTCTCTCTCAGCTGTGAGACAGTGGGATCCAGTTGTCTCCTCAGTTGTCTCTGGCGATATTCCTTTTAATTTGGCTCTAGGCTACTGCCTCATGCTTCACTGTACTCGGCCTTTCTTGCCTTGACAACATGGCACACTAGATGTGTAGTTCCCATACAACTGAAACACAATATATTATCAGAGGCAAATGGTTACATTTGCACTTTATTTAAATGTCTTACATAATATGTCCATTGAAATGGCTAAACAAATAAGGGGTAATTACTTCCTGAACGCACGTCGTATAAACATGCATTCATTGGCTGACAGGTCGAACTCAGCGTGTGTTCTGTCTTTCAATTGGCTACAGCTGCTGTCAATCCAAACTGAAGTCCCGCCCACACTGTCAGTCATATTTTTGCTGGCTTTTCACTCGGTAACCAAAGCAGAATAAAACTCACTTTTTCCGGTTTGGGTAAGATTGCCCCCGACGACGTTGATACTACGGTCCTGCTCTGAGTCGACCTGGATATGTTGGATGTTTTCGAGCCGACGTTGCGGCAAATTTTACCCGCATTTTGGGTGAAAAGTCGCAGCCGCAGTGCACTTGACGCCATTTTTCCCAGTAATGTGATAGATAGGGTGGGACGTTGTGGGCGGGACTGGGTTGACTCTTATCTACGCGTCTTGACGGTGTTCTTGACCCATGATGTTGACGAGATGTTTAGGAAATCTAATTCAAACAATTCATTACTCTTTTATTAATTTCGCGTGAAGAAGAGGAATGCCTCTTCTGCGTTTGTAAGGTTAAAAAGTGACATTGAATGCGCATGTGACAATATTGTGGGATTTTCAGTTCGATATTAAAACATTTTCTCTTATGATAGGCCTTATATTTTCACAAACAAAAAGTGGGTTCACCTGTATGTTAATTTATTTTATTTTACAAATATTATTTATCAACAACAAATAGAAATAACAGCAAAAGTGAAGCATTGCAACTAAGCCAGGGTGTTTCATTTAATCAAAAACTATAATTAAATCAGGTGCGTTGAAAATCTTCTAAGTTTTTTTATTCTTCATAATAAATATTATATTATATATACAAGTGTTGACTTTGTCAGTATAATATAGGTGCCAGTCCATTTAGATGTGTGTATGATGATTTTAATCAATACATAATCCACCCGAGTAACTAAAGAGGGGTTTTCGACAATTATTGTGTTGGATGTAGGATATTCAAATACTTCCATCATGACTTTACTTCAAGACTACAAAGGCATATACCGCCATTTCTACTATATATAAAGAACGGATTAGGACATTAAATAAAATAACATTATTTAAAACATTAATGTCTTCTGTTTTACGTATACTGCTATTCCTTAGTCCCTGTAATGTGTAAACAATGTGAGATCTATTTTGAGTTGTGATGTTGTTTCTTTTTTACCATTAGCATTTGTGAATGTAGTATTTAATACATAAAATAAATAAGTAAAACAAAAATTGCAATTACACTATTTTACCATCAACATCTTTCTTATCATAAACATGTTTTTCCAAGAGGTGTAACGTCACCATACCATCGATGTGCGCGAGGCTGACTGCAGCACTTCCTCGACGCGGGGGGAGGGACTAGAGCGCGCTCCGCGGAGACGCGCACGGGAGGGAAGTGGAAAGGCGGAAGAAAGGACGTTGAATAAACTTGCCAACTTCTAGCCGAGCAGCTAGAAATACAGTCAGAGAACTGTTATGTTACAGAATAACTGTTTAGTTATTTCTACACAGATATTTTGTTAGCTCACCCACCGGCCTGTCTGCGCAAAGATATCTGAGCTTTACTTTGCTAACACCTTCACTCACCGACACGGGACTCCAGCAGTTTTCAAACAGACGACCCGGAGCCGTCCCGCGTCACAAAGTCACATTTAGCTGCTGTGAAAGTGCTGTGATAACCGGAACATTGTTATAACGGAAACCACACACA